TGACCACCAGGTGCAGGGCTGAGTGGTCCGGGGCCTTGCCTGGACACGGAGGCTGAAGGACCCTCCTCAGCAGGGCTGGGGTCCCCCTGTCCAGGCTCCAGGCAGTGCCTAGTGCTGTCTCTGCCTGAGTGAGATGCAGCTGGCCATGGGCATGGGGCTGCCACTCTAGATGTGAGGGGAGTCCCAAGTGGCCCTTGTACCACTACTGTCCCCTCAGCCCAGGACACTTGCCACCTATCAGCCCAGAGTCTCTGTGGGGACTCATTGGTCTCCCTTTCCCGCTGGATCAGAGCCCATGAGGGTGGGGCCGGGCCATGGACTGAAAGGACCAGGGCAGCACGGTGGCCGGCTCCTGCTGCCTGCCAGGTGGCCCCAGCTCCCCTCCCCCCCAACCAAATACCTGCCCAGGGCTCGCCCAGCTCCAGGCATGTGCTCTGGGCTGACGCCTGGCGGCCTCCCATCCCAAGACAGCGTGGGTGGGCCCTGGGGTTCTGCGGGGATCCCTGCCCCTGCCTGGTGCCACTCCCACCCCCGGGTCTCTGTGTGTCCCCGTCCCACACGGCAGGGCCAGCAGGGCTATGGCCCTGGACTTCCTGTCTGTCCACAGGAGAACGGGGGCAGTGGTCACCCCAGCCCCAGCCCAGGGCCCAGGTGACCCCTACCCAGGATGCAGGAGTGGGAGGAGGGGCCCTCGCTGGAGAAGAGGCCACAGGTGCCCAGGTATGGTGACACCACCTTCTGGATCAGCGCCTCCAGACGCAGGTAGTCCTCCGTGACGCCCCTGGGCTCGTGCACCCCCTGCAAGAGAGTGAAGGTCACACAGAACAGGCAGCGAGCACCTGATGCCCAGCCTCTGCTGCGGAGGGTGGCGGGGGACGTGCTGTGGGTTCACACCGTTCTGCTTCCCGTCCTGTGGGCCCTGCTGCCCCGGCACAGGCAGCGAGCGGACACACTCAGACCCCATCCCTGGGGCCCAGGGAAGCTGTGATCCTGGGGGCTCAGGGACACACAGCAGAGGCCCTCCACACATGCTGGCCAGCAGCTATGACCTCAGATCCACCCAAGGCTTGAAACAGCAGGGGCCAGGTTCAGTTGGGGACCAAGACAAGGCTGGTGACAAGTTCAGCAAGAGACTAGGACAAGGTCTCTCATGGTGAGAGGAAAGGCGACAGGCGGGGCAAGGCAGAGGCCTGTGGGAGGGATGGCCCTGGGGGAGGTGGGGACCATCTGAGGGCTGCAGGAGGCGTGGCGGCCACCAGGGGGCAGCGCCGCCCAGGCCATGGCCGCCTCCCTCCCTGAGTTCCCTGGGGCATCTACAGCCCAGCCCTGTGCTGCCTGCTGCTCCCAGCACCACAGAAGGTGGCCCTCACACCTGCCCTGCGGGGCCTGACCCCCTTTTCCATCACAGAGACGAGGAACAGGCCCAGAGAGGTCCTGGGAGCTCCCAGCCCGACAGCTAGAAGCACCACCCATGGTGGGCATCCAGCTCGGCAGCCAGGACAACCTCAGGCCTCCGGCCCAGCGCCACTCTCGACCCTACCAACCTCACCTTCCAGCCCCTGCCCCCAGGCCGACCGACAGACCCGAACTTTAAAGGGACTCCATGCGCCCGGCGGGTTGAGAACAAGGAGCAGGGGTTGGCAGCCCAAGAGCAGCGTGAGGTCAGGCTTGCGGGCAAGGCTCTTTCCCTGCCTGTGAGGTGGGCTGCCAGTGCCTGCTGCCTCCCGTGGTGATGGCAGGCCGTGGGGAGCGCCAGGCCCAGCTGCCCGGCGCCGCCCTCTGGACAGGGTCCTGCCCTGCTGCAGGCCAGGCCGTGCTGGCTGGTGAGCTCCAACGGGAGGACGCTGAGGTCCCTGCCCGTGTGTGGGCCCCCAGCACAGGAGGTAAGCACAGCGTCCGCCCAGGAGGACAGCCCTGGCCCACTCCCTCCCGGGCACCTGCAGCCTCTCCTGGCCTCGTCTGTCCCTCCCTCACAGATTCCCTCTCCCCAGTCACAGGTCCGGAACCCTGGCCTTCAGCTCCACCTCTGGTGCCCCCACGGCCTGTGCCCACCAGGCCCCACCCAGTGGCCCGGCTGCGGCCCCGCTACCCACCTGCAGCACTAGCAGCATCTGCACAATGGCGGGCGGCACGCGGGCATGGGCACGGGCCAGTGCGTCCTCTAGCTTCACGCTGAGAGTGATGGTGTTCCGGAACAGCAGCAGGGCCAGCTGGCGCACGGAGGGCTCCTTGCCCTGCGGACAGGGCGCTGCACCCATCTGCCGCCAAGAGGCCTCCACCCCGCCCACCCCGGGTTACGGGTCAGGACACGGGAACGGGCCACTGACCCTCAGGGCCCCTGTACCTCCTGTCCTCCCAGAAGACCCCTCCCACAGAGCCCAGGGCCCTCCCGGCTCCCCTGGCAGGGACAGTCCTGCACTCGGGGCCAGGTGCCTGCTGCTCAGCTCTGCAGGGCTCGGAGGGTCCTCCTGATCTGCCTCTCCGGGGCCGGTCCCGAGAAGCGCAGGAAGGCCAGGGCAGGAGCGCGTCACCACCCTGTCCCTCGTGGTAGGGCACCTGCACTGGGTAGAAGATGGCCTGCAGCGTGGGCAGCACGTCACTGAAGAAGAAGTCCCAGGTCTCTGCCAGGGAGTCCAGCAGCTTCTGTCCTGTGGGCACAAGGAGCTGTCACTGCCTGCCCCGGACAGACGCCAGTGGATCCTTCTGCCCACCCAGCGCGAGGAGCTGAGGGCCCAAGCCAAGCCCTGGGGCTGCCTGCCCAGGTGACACTGCCTGCCCTCTGTGCCCAGGCTGCCACCTACAAAACAGGAGCACGACAGGCCAGAGCCAGTGGGACCCCATGAGACTAAGCCCAGGAGCTCAGCACACAGTCCAGTGCCAGGCGGCCAGTCCTGTGCCCGCCACACAGGTGTGCCCGCGGGAGCTGCAGCTCAGTCTCCCCACCCCCGTAAGACCCTGCCAGGCGGGTGAGGAGTCGTCCTCTTGCCAGCCGAACGCGTGCCCAAGCCAGGCCCGATGCTGGACATCAGGACCCATTAATGGACATCAGGACCCATTAAGGGAGCTGGGCCCAGAAGACACTGGACATTAATGGTCAGTGACCTGGGCTGCAGTGTCAGGTCTCCCCGCAGGGCCTGGCCATGCTGCCCATCTGCTTGTGAAGCCAGAAAGCCCACTTCACCAGGGGGAGCGTGCCCAGGTCAGCAGGGAGGGCTCCTGAGGAGGTGACATCCACGCCAGGTTCAGGGGGTCGCTGCCAAAGAAGGGGGCGATCTTGGTACATGAACACCCAAAGCAGGTGTGTGTGAGCAGGCATTCCCGCAAGCTCTGTGGGCATTTTGCTGGCCTGGGGCAGAGTGGCACTGTCCAGCGGGTTGGGTGGCTCTCCAGGAACAGGGCAGCTGAGGTGCCCCAAGCTGGCTCTGGGCGCCTACAGAAGACGCAGCTTGCAGGGCGCTGGCCTCTGGGCCTGGAGTCAGCAGACAGCTGGGCCCTGGGCTGTGGGGTGCAGGAAGGAGCAGGCCCCAGCATGTGTCCCCGCCCCTGCTGCTTGGAGGGACTCTGTGTTTGGGTCTAAGTGAAGGGGGGCGAGCCCCTGAACGTGGCCAGCCTCCTCCCAGGCCACACTGCCAGGCGGCCCAGCTCTGGGTTTCCATGGGAACGCGGTGGCCAGCCAAGGGCCTTCGTCCGGCTCGCCTTACTTTCCTGGGGCCCTGTACCCTCACCCCGAGCCCCCAGGACCGGGTAGGTGCAGGGCACCAAGGGCAGCCCCGTGAGCAGGCCCTGCCTCCCGAGTGGCTGCCTGCTGCTCTCTGGGAGGCCAGCTCTCACCTCCTGGGTGGCCCGTACCTGGCTGCCAGGGCCAGGCGGCCAGCAGGGAGGCCAGGATGGGCGGATGCCTGCTCCGCAGCAGAGCTCTGCCCACACACAAAGTCCCTCAGTTCCCTGTGTCGTGCAGGAAGAAAGGCCGCTCAGTCCCCGGGGCTGGCCGTGGGGCAGCCCTGGGCGCCGGCCAGGCCAGTGTTCCGCTGAGCTCAGGCCATTCTCCAGCCCACGGGGCGGAAACGCTGCGGAAAGCAGATGTTGTAAAACACAGAACCCAGGCCCCGGCCAGGCCGCAGGCTGACAGCCCGGGAGGGGAGCCTTGTCCTGGGCCAGGATCACACTGGGGCTGCCACTGAGTGGGGCACCTGGGGGCTGTGGGGCGGTCAGGGGCTGCTCTGCGCCTTGCTGTGTGGCCCAGGAAGCTCCTCAGCAGCCCTCAGGGGTGCCCTCTGTGCAGTGGGCTGAAGAACACCCCATGGGGTGGCGGGGACAGGCAGCTGAGCGTCTGCTCTGGCAAGACCCCAGGATCCGGGGTCAGCAGTGCAGGGAGGGCTGTTGGGCCCAGGGGCAGCCAGGCTCCATGAGGGCTGCCAGCCGGGTAGGTCCTTCCTCAGCTCAAGGGTGCTGAGAGCCATCGTGCAGCCCAGGGACAGGAGTGAACCTGGCCGGTCCAGCTCAGGGCTCCCAGCCACACCCTGGAGACCACAGGGATGATGAAGGCCAGAGGGCAGTGACTAGAGGGCAGCAGGACGCAGGGACAGGGACGCCTGACGGGGTGTGGCCAGAGCCCAGGAGCACGGCCAAGGATGCGGGGCTGCTGGTGGCGCCCTGTGGGCACAAGGCCTCCCGGGGCTCCTGCTGGACAGCCTGGGCCTCGGCCACCTCCCATCCCGGGAAGCAGCCCTCGGCCTCCACCTCTCCTCTCTTTCCTTATCCAGGAAGGCCCTGCTTGGCTGGCGTCCAGGGCCTGCTGGAGGCCAGAGAAGGGCTGCCCCGTCCCTGCCGGCCTCCTCCTGCACAGCCCAGCTGGGGCCTGGCCGGCGGCCACTCCTCTGGGGAAACCCGGGCGGGAGCAGGACAGGGCGGCAAGGCAGACGTCCTCCTAAACTGGCCATACGCGAGGCCCTTAGAGGCCGACCGCTCCGTGCAGCCCGGCCAAAGGACAGCGGCCTTCCTTCCCCAGGCCACCTCCCCCTTATGTCCACCACACTGGACCCCACCAACTTTCCGCCTCTCTGTCCCCAGCTGTGAGTCCCTGCAGGGCAGGCCCTGCATCCCTCCACCTCCAGGTCCCCAGAGACCTCCAGGGCTGACATGCAGGGAGCACCAGGAGGAGCCCTGGGGAGCTGGTCCACCTACAGCGCTAGAGGGGGCACCCAGACTGGGCAGGACGTGTGTGCCTGTGGGACCTGGGAGCTGACAGCCAGGTGGTGACTCCCAGCCCAGAACTTGCTGCTGTCCCCGGTGCCCAGGGAGGCTGGATACGGCCTCCTAGGCTGCCTGTCAATTCCGTCAGCCACCAAGTGCCCGCTGGGAGGCCTGGAGGACACAGGAGGTGGGGACCGAGCTCCGCCAGGCCACGCGGAGCCTCCCTTCTCTGAGGCGCCCTGGCTGCCCCGGCTGGGCTTGCCCCGTGCTCCCAGCTCAGCCACAGACGCTGCCTGCTCAGGAAGCCACCCGACCCCCAGTGGCCAGGGTGAGCAGCGAGTGTGCTGGGCTGGCAGGTGTGCGGGGCGCACCTGGCAGAGCGGAGACTGGTGTTGCAGGTGCTCCACAAGCCCCGGAGCCTGAACCAGCACCCGGGCGAGCAGGACTCTGCAGGGGGCTCTTCCCGCCACTGCCCTGCCCCATGCCACACCTGCCGAAGGGCGTTGGCACCTGGGCTACTGCCTGAGGCCCTTGGATGCCAGAGGTCAAGGCCACAGTCTCCTGCCAGGCCAGAAAGAGAGGCCACTGGGACTGTCACCACCCCTCTCTGCAGTGTGGCCACAGACAGCCTATCACCACGGCACTGTCCCCATTTGGGAACAAGGACCTGAAGTCTCCACGAGGTGGGAATGAGCTTTGAGAAAGCTCATCTGACCACCCTCGCGACGCTCAGTCCGCAGCTCCTGGCCCTGGCCCTGGCCCTTCAGCTTCTGTCTGAGCCAGCTCCCCTCCAGCCGCCAAGTCCCAGGACCCAGGACAGGCTCTACGCGGCAGCAAGTCCCCGAGGGCAGCGAGGAGAGGCAGGGCCTTCCCTGGCGGCCAGGTCCTCCTAGCTGCGTGTGTGAGGGTGGGACGCTCTCCCTGAGGTCCGCTGCCTGGGGCCACTCTGTCCCCCAAGCCCTCGGACCAGAGCGCGACTCCTCCAGCCCACAGCCCTGGGGACCAGGCAGAGCCCAGCAGGCCATGACCCCGGAGTGCACACGGGCCAGGCCACTGTCCCATGGTCCCAGCAGGCCAGCCGCAGGTAGTTAGGTCCCTGCTGAGGGGCCACCACTCACCCTCGTAGAAGCGGATCTTGTCCCGGAGGATCACCATGCCCTGAGTCAGCAGCTGGTTCTGGAAGCAAGCAGAGGGTCGTCACTGTCGCGGTGTGCCCTGGGGTGACCTCACAGGCCACCAACAAGCAGCTGGGCCTCAGGGGCAGCGACTGCCCCGGGCCCCCCACCCACCAGGCAGAGCCTGCACCTCAGGGGGTCACGAGGCAGGAGGTGGCGGCAGGGACGCCCTCCAACACGCGGGCTGACCTGGAGCCTCCTGGGCTGGGCTGGGCAGGCCCCTGCGCACTCCTTCCTGACGCCTGGCTCCTGGCCACACTCGGGGCACCCAGGCACAAGGCAGGCAGCTCGGCCAAGAGCGAGGTCTCTATGCACCTTCCCAGAGCCGAGGCGGGGACGGCCCTGCCCACCCATGATGCTGCTTGTGTCCCTACGAGGAGCGGTGTCCCCAGAAGGAGGTGGAGCATGGCTCATGGGGACAGAGAAGACTTCAAAACCAGGATGTGGACAGGAAGCGGCCAGAGAGC